ATGGAGACAGAGACAATGATGTGGACAGATGGAGTGGCTGGGGACCCTGGACTCAGGGAGGGAGAGGGGCTGGGTGCTGACGGACAGGGGGGTGGGGGGGCCGGCCTGTGGGGGTGTGTCCTTTGGCTATTTGATGATGCATAGAGGGGATTGTAATCATTGCAGTGAAACGAAATACGATACGATGAATGTAAAACTAATGTTCTTCCATGTAAACCCACATAATTCACAATAAAAACCTAAAAGTAAAAGAAGAAGAAAAGAAAGTCTTGCTATCAAACCAGTGAGCCACAGTCTAGAATTGACTCCTTAACGAAAAGGTATCTCATAACTGATGTTGCAGTCATCCAGCCCCCTTCGTTTCAGTGGATGTGGTACAACAATCACAGAATTGCCTTATTCTTCTTGCTCTCTATTTAATAAGCTGTTTAAACTTTACCAAAAAAAAAAAAGAAAGAAAGAAGGAAAAGAGACTCTGAAACCTGCTCTCCAGCATAGAGATGCTAAAATAAATGGAAGAAATGAGGAGGTAAAAGAACTAAATAGAAAATTTCAAAGGGCAGCTTAAGACATCAAAGTCAAATATTATAACAAAATGTGCAAAGACCTGGAGTTAGAAAACCAAAAGGGAAGAACATGCTCAGCATTTCTCAAGCTAAGGGAATTGAAGAAAAACTTCAAGCCTCAACTTGCAATATTGAAGGATTATATGGCAAATATTGAATGATGCAGAAAGCATCAAAAGTAGCTGAAAGGAATACACAGTCATTGTACAAAAAAGAAATGGTCGAAGGGTAAACATCGATGTTTAACCATTTCAAGAGATAGCATATGATCAAGATCCAGTGGTACTAAAGGAAGAAGTCCAAGGTGCACTGAAGGCATTGACAAAGAACAAGGCTCCAGGAAATGATGGAATACAGATTGAAATCTTTCAACAAACTGATACAACACTGGAGTCACTCACTCATCTATATCAAGAAATTTTAAGACAGCTACCTGGCCTACTGTTTGGAAGAGAGCCATATTTTGCCCATTCCAAAGAAAGGTGACCCAATGGAATGTGAACATCATCGCACAGTATCATTGATATGACATGCAAGTAAAATTTTG